CGGGCTCGCGGGGGCCCGCCCGCTAGTCAGTTTCAGCAGCGGCTGAATCGGGGACAGCTGGGGCGCTGCCGGGTTGGGTTCTGCAGCCCCGAGGGGCAGCGTTATGGGACCAACCCGGCAGCGCCCCAGCTGCTCTGCCCTAGGCGTCCCTGTTTCAGCCGCTGGTCAGTTTTAGCAGCGGCTGAATCGGGGAACCTGGGGGCAGAGTAGCTCCAATGGTCCAGCTGCCTGGAGCACTTCCGGGTTCCTGATGATGCCGGACCATCAGGAGTACCGGACCATCAGGAGTTTTACTGTACTTTGTACTGGTATAGTAAAAACCATTCCTCATAAGTGGAAAAATTGGTATAAATACAGCTTTGCATCTATACTAGGAGCTTCTTCTGATGTCAGTCAGGGATCATGGCTTTTAATCGCTGTAACCAACAATTATGCTGGCAGAAGTCTGTAATTTAAAAAGACTAAACCAATACCTAGAAACAATAATAACCTAGCCTCTGGGAACAAATATCAGAAAACATCTGCCAGATCCAATATGAAAGAAAGCAGGAACCTCACAGTCTAAGGAATCTTGAAAAAATTCCACTTGTACATTTTTGATATATGCTTAAAATAATAATGACTAGAACATGCCTACATAGTGTATACATAATCCTGTCTCATTGAAGTCAAAGGCAAAACTTATATGGATTTCAACAGGACCAGGATTTGGCTCAAAGTGTATATTTTAAATACTTTTAAATATGACCTCATAACCACAGCTGAAAATGATAAGTTCCCAAAATAAAAGAAAAAGTTTGCAAGGATATGAGATGAGAGAGAAAATATTTTTTCAGGTGCTTTCGTCCCCTTGTTACACTAACTACATTCCAGTCTCTTTAGTCATTACATTCAATCAATTTTTACAGGTAGTGTGACAGAAAGAACAGGGTCTGGGAATAATTTATATTTAATAGCAATGGAAAATTGATGAGGGAATTGAAGAGACAAATCCATACTACCTCTGTAACCAGCTATGAAGGAAACTAGATACATGTTGTATGTGAGCACAAAAGGATTACTCGTTTTCATGCAAATCAAGTCCATCACCACCTCAACAGATGAGGCCCAGTCTAAAAGAAAGGGGAGACCTAAGGTGCACCTGGAGATCTGAAAGTGTAAAAATCTTCCAGGAGTAGAGTCCATATGGGACACAAAGACTGGCACTTTCCTATAAGTGGTACTCTTATTCAAATACTCCTGTGTGGAATTGTTGCTATAGCCACACAGACATGATAATGAACTGTAGATAAGAGATGGGGAAACATCTTTGGACACAATAGAGAAAGGCTATGTTAGGGCTAAAGAGGTGTTGATAAGATGACTTTCTAAAGACCTAGAATTAGCTTTCCTTTTCTCTTAGATAAACTAAAGGATTCCTACTTCACTCAATTTCATAAATCCCTCACCCTAAGATGGTAAAACAAATAGATGGTATCATGAGCTTTAGTGGCACAACCCACTTCTTCACAAAGTGTGCCCATGAAAGTTCGTGATACCATCTGCATGTTTTGTTAGTGCTACCATACTATTTGTTGTTTTTTAAGTTTGTCCTGTACAGACTAACTCCGCTACCCCTGTGAAGTTTTCAAACATAGAGGTAGAGAAGAAAAAGGCATTTGGTTACAGGAGCTTAACTCCCCCATTCATGTTCTTAGTCAGAATGGGAATTACCAGAATTTATGGTCATTCCCATTAAATTATGTTACAAAGAGTTCCGAAAGGTAAATACAGGAGAGAACTCTAAGGACCAAGAAAAAAACTATTTTTTCATTTTTCAGCCTTCTCCACAAGCTGATCAACTGTAAACACAAATCCTCCTTGTGGACTAGGGTACATGGACTACACTAAACTGTGCAAATATGCAACATGGAAATATTCTGTTTTGAAACAATTCTGCCTGTCTGATTTCCTCCTCATACATTAAATCATTGCTCTCAATAAATGTATAATAAAAACCTACACTTCAGTGGTCAATCCTACAAGCACATCAGCAGCAACAGTATCATATCTTAGAAATTAATAGAACAACTTACATGAGTAAAGTTATTCATGTGCTGAAGTGTTTGCAGCATCAATCCATAAATATTAATTTGTTCCTTCTGTTTATTCCTGATTTGAAATAATAATTATGTATCTTTAATATAAATTCCACAGAAACCAGATGTGGTGTTAGTCTCTTGAGTTTAAGATTTCAAAATAAGAAATGTAAAAAAAGGTAAATTTTCAAAACCAAAAGCTTCCTATTTTTTGTATAAATTACATTAATAATAAAAGCTAGTATACAGAAGTACAGCTAATATGTGACATATAAGCAGAAGTTTCTATAAGTAGTAAAAAAACTTATTCTGCAAAGTTTCCCCACAAAGTACAGTTTGGACTTTAGTTAGAACAATGTTATTTGCCAACAGAGACAAGGTAGGTGAGGTAATATATTTTATTGGACCAGTTTCTGTTGGAGAGAGAAAAACTTTCCAAGTTACACAAAGCTCTGCTTCAGATCTGGGAAATGTACTCAGAAGATATGTTTACCCTGCAGTTAGAAATTGGTGGCTGGCCTCTGCCAGCTGACTTGGACTCCAGGAACTCAGACTAATTTAGGGTATGTATGTTTACAGACTCTACACTACACAGCTTTTAGCAACATGGCTGTATCAAGCAAGCCGTGTGGCTAAAAAAGTCAGGCAGTACAAACACTTATTTGTTGGCACTTTTGCCTACAAAAAACTTCCACCCCCTATTAGCAGTGTTTGGTTTCTCAGCAGGAGAGCTAGTACTTGCTGAGGCAAAGCTTTTGTCATAGTGGGAGGGAGGGAGGAAGATTTAAGCACTTGTGAATGGCAAAAGCTTTGTCGTTCAATTGTCATTGTAAACTAAGACTTAGAGGCTGTTTCACTGCAGTGTAGACACTGAGGCAAGGGCTGCAGCCCAGGCTCTAGGAGCCTGTGAGGTAGGAGGGTCCCAGGGTTTGGGCTGCAAGGACATCTAGAATGTAATGAAACAGCCTTAGCCAGAGCTTTGGGAGCTTGAGTCAGTTGGCAAGACCCAGGCACTCAGTGGCTAAACGCAGTGTAAACATACTTAAGATTGACGAGGAGTCCTGTGGCACCTTATAGACTAACTGAAGTGTAGGAGCATAAGCTTTCGTGGGCAAAGCCCCACTTCGTCAGATGCAAGCTTTGCCCACGAAAGCTTATGCTCCTACACTTCAGTTAGTCTATAAGGTGCCACAGGACTCCTCGTCGCTTTTGCAGATTCAGACTAACACGGCTACCCCTCTGATACTTGATACTTAAGATTGTCACAGAAGGATACAAGGTGGAACAGATTATTCAGCATCAGTAATTTACACATATTTCAAGGGACCATGAAAAATAAAGTGGCCTGTTAACACCTCTCCAAGTGAAGGGGAGGGGCGAAAGCTGGGGAGAGGTGAGAGGTGGTTAACTGGATTACAGTTTGTTGTAATAAACCTTCATTCCATGCTTCTACACAGTCCATGATTGTTAGTGTCTAGAGAAGTTATGAATTAAAGCTCCCAGGCTCATCTCTTGAAAGTGCTGTGCACGTTTCCTTTGAGGAAACCTTGACCGAGAGGTGTTAATTGGCTACTTCACCTTGAAATATGTATTAACAACTTATGCTAAAAAAATCTGTTGCACCTTTACTTAGCTGTGACACTCTGAATACATTTTGCAGATGTGAAGAAGAGCTCTGTATAAACTCAAAAGCTACTCTCTGTCACTAACAGTAGTCCAATAAAATATAGTACCTCACCATCTTGTCTAACATCCCAGGATCAATAAGGCTACTACATTGCATGTACATCCCAGTCAGTCAAATGACTGCTTTGAAAGGTGGATATATAGATGTCTGTTGCCATGAAAGAGGTACTATTATGTGCACCTGTTCTTGGAAGCCTATTTGTAAGTTCCCTGTGCAGTTCTAAGTGCAATGTGCTACACTGTAGCCAATATATTGTGAGGCTCATTTGCTGCAATGCAGCATATCTTGCTGCAGTTTTGCTCACTTAAGAAGTCTTTGGCATATTATTCAACAGCATAAATCTGTAAGACAGAAATGCAGTAGTTTCTCTGCACAGATTTTCCTTATAACTGTGTGGAAGCCACAAAATATATTCCTATATTAGTTTAGAAAAATAATAAAGTAGCACAATTACCATTCAAGTACATACAGCTTTAAAACTAAAACAGGTTTTGGCAAAATTCCACCAACCACTTACTAATCTCTGTACTAATACCAAAAAGACTATTTACAATAATATAATGGATAGAGATTACTTAAAGCTTTTAAAAACCATTAGATAGTAAATCATTCAAATACCACATTTCCCATACTTTTTCTTTATCCTCTGCTCTCTGAATCATTTCCTTTTCTTTCTGTATCTTTTCTTTTTCATCTTCTTTTTCTTTTCTTCTGGCAGCTATTGCAGCTTCCAATCTGGCTGTCTCCTGCTGGTGTGCTCTCCACTGTAGAACCTGAAGTGAGATTCCCATAACACAGTAAGTGTAACATTGTGGCCATGAAAACTGAATATAGTGAAGAAACATGAATAATCTGTTTATCAGGTTTTCTGATTCAAACAACAATGTACTGTTATTTAAAAAACATTACTTCCACTTACTAAAAAGTCAGTCCTTCTCCATTCATTGGTGTACTATTTAAGAAAAAAATCCACCATGAAAAGTTAGAGACTAAATGAGACTTGACCTCCTAAATGCCTCAGTCACTTTTGAAAACGTGCTTGAGAATCTTATGTCATATAGGTGCTTTAAAAATATTACTCCTTCTCTTACACGGTATATTCACCTTTTAATTTTACTATTTACCACACATTATTTTAAATAATTATATTACAGCGGCTACTTCTACTACTACTACTGGTACACTGACCATATGTCCCGGATTTTCCGAGACAGTCCCGATTTTAAATCTCCTGTCCTGGTGTCTCCATAAAGGAGTGAAATGTCCTGGAAATCGGAAGGTGGGGGTGAAAACCCCAAGACTCCCTGCTGGATGCGGCTTGCGAGGACAAAATGCACTTCCATTTCCCTTCCCCCAACTGGGGGAACAGCCTCGCAGCACTTCCTGGAGTCTTTCCCCTTTGCTCCCATTGGTCAGAATCTGGCCAATGGTAACAAAGGGGAAAGCCTTGAGAAAGTGCCTGTGGGGGGCAGAAGAGAAAGGGCAGTGCATGGAATCTGGCCAATAGAAGCATCCTCTGCCAATTCCTCCCCTCCCTTCCTGAAAGATGCAAATGCAGGGGCCACACTGCTCAGAGGCCTGGTGCCATCTGACCCCCAAGGTCCTGGGACCTGTGCTCCTGAGGAGGCTAAGTGTGAATGGCCCAGAAGCACTGAAGGGGGAAGAGGCATTTTCCCACAGCAAAGGTACAGGAACCTTTGCTGCATTCCCAGAACTCAGCTGCGTGTGAAACCTGCCTCAGGGAGTGGCAGAGACCCACACCCAGGACAGTCCTCAGGCAACCAGGGCCCATCCACAGTGGAACCAGGAGCAAAGCCTTGCAGCAAAGGCAGGGACTGGGACGTGTCTGTGCAGGACAGACCGGGTGCAATGCTAGTTCGCTTTGAGTCTGGGGGTCTCCAGGCCAGGGGCCAGCTGGGGAGCAAGGCTAGAAAGTGGTGTTGCAGAGGAGGTTTGTGGGGAGAGGACCCTGGAAATTCCCTCTTTTGCCTTCCAAAGCCTTGTTCTGCCCGGCAGGGGGTCCCGGCCCTGGCTGGGGCAGGTGCCGAAGACCCTCACAGCCACTTGAAATGTCTTGAGTGTGGAGCCCCCATGATCTCCCAGCCCCCTACTAGAACCACAGCGCCCAGAGCTATCAGCCGGGGGGCTCAGCAAAGCCACCCAGAGGATCGCACTGGTCTGTACTAGTGACCAGTGCCTGCCTTGGAAGAAGGCAGAGATTTGAGAAACACTGCTGCAGATCTAGGAACAAAAACAGGTTAAAGCTATTTTGTCTTCAAACAAATGAAGCCTTACATTCCTTTCTCAATTATCACAGCAATGTTTCTTTATAATGGAGAAAAAGGCTGCATAATTTCCTATACTGAAATCTACTCATTTTAAAGGTAGCTTAGAATACATACATAAGCACTTGAGGTAAAACTAAATTATGTAAAAAGTTGCATTTGTGCAAGGCCAGGGGAAAACTTGCTCATTACAGATGCCAAGCAAAAATCACCAGTTTTATTCACAGTCCTTTTATGAGGTTTTAAACATGAGCAACTTACATAAAACAAATCTCAGAGAGGCTAAACCTAAAACAGTATGGTTTACAATTAATTTAGTTTAAATTTGTACATTTTTTGATGAACACTAAACTTAAGTAGCTACTATCTATCCATTTGGATTGATGAAGCATAATAATTTCAAAAAGCTTTTGCTAGTCTTCCCTTACAACCTGTAAAGACCATGCAATGTGCCATCCATTCTCATTAACTTCAGAGTTCACTGAGCCTTAGGTAAATGGATCTTGAATGTTTTTTTTAATTTTACTGATTCTAGCACATAACCAGAGAAACCAGAAGATTAAAAAGTGAATTTTTTCACCACCACATGCTTTTTCAACAACTACTGTTATCCAATCAGTCTGCTACATAAACATTCCTGCATTTGGAGAATAATACATCTGTCTTGATAACTCATTCTGATCTGAAATGTGCAGCTCAGGTAGTGCAGCACTGGTAGTTAAGAAAAACCTTTTTCAATCTTGTAAATTGAGCCAATTTGAAGTCACAGCCAAAATATATACGAAACAATACAATTTTAATTTAAAACACTGTCCACAGCACTGTCATACATACCTGCCCCTAGACGCACAACACATCACCTTCACACAGCACATCAGCACCTCCTATAGGTCCCAAACCCATCCCGATTGGTAGAGAGTGGTGGGAGGAGTTCTTAGAGGGTTCACATGACCCACTTCTGGACCAATCACCTTTCCCCAGTGCTCCCTCTGATTGGTCAAATCTGCTCTTGAGGCAGTCCTATGGGGCCCAAACCCATCCCTATTGCTATAGGATGGTTGGAGGGCCATGTGTCCATCTTGACCCCAGAATTACTACTCCCTGGGGTGGAAAACGATTCAGGAGGTGTGACTAGTGTTTGATTGATGGTAGGGCCCTTATATCACGTGTCCCCATTTATGGTCACCGTAACTATTGGCCAAGCAAAGTGAGGCACTACATTTAATTTGATGGCATTTCTGTATGTCTGTATTGTAACACTGAAACTGTACATTTAATCAATTCTAAATTTTCAGGGAATGTTTCTAGGCATCAATGGTATCCTATTAATTTTGGGGAAAACAGTCAGAAACCTAGAAGGGGAAATGTGGGATAACACACAGAGCCCTCACTTTTGCTTAGCAGGTTTAACCAGCTCTGTAATTATCTATAGATCAAAGAACCTATCCATGAAGGCAATCTCAGTTCTGCCCATATCTCTATTAATAGAGTTTTCAATGCTGACACACTGAATGGCTATCAGTGAGAGCATCAGGAGAAGCCAGAGGACAAGAAAAGTGAAGGAGGCCTCCCCAAAGCTTGATCCAATGTGGCAGGGAAACACGGAGGGGGTACTAGCCCCTGCAAATATTGACTCTGGAAGGAAAAGGAGCACACAAGGGTGAATGTTGTGCATTTCCCAGCCAAAGCTTGGGACTGGAATACTGAAACGTTTTGGTGGAGAAAGGATGTTTTGGGGTTAGGTGGAAGGGATTGGTGGAAGAGATTAATAAATAACCTACTTTTATCTGATATTGGGGGTTTTATCCACAAAGGCTTATGCCATAATAAATCTGTTAAGGGTTGGGTTATGCTAAGGTGCCACAGGACTCCTCATTGTTTTTGCAAATAAACTAGGAATTAAAGGATAAAGCATTCTGAGCGCTCATAAACTCATTCTTTGTTCTCCCCCCTTCATGGTCCCTGTTACTTCTCCCATTTCCTTCTCCCACCACATTGCTTCAGGCAGCGGAATCTCTCAGGTGCCTCATGCTGCTTCCTGTGCATATCACAAACAGCAGCTTCGTATGCTGCTCTCTCATTGTTTGTGCAACTCAGCTTACAGAAGCAACAAAATAACAGCAGGCCCTCTGACCAGGGGAGGGGGACAGGAGAAAGCGACCAACTGCCCCAGGGCCTGGTGAGTCTAAAGGGCCCAGGGCTCCTGGCTAGTGCCACTGCTACTGTGGTACCACTCGGAGCCTCAAGTAGAGGCTGGTGCCACATGCTCCAGGCAGCACTGAGGGCTGGCTGCTCTGCCCCCACCCATTTCAGGAGAATGGAGCCAGACCAGGGGCCCAGCCATCAACTCCCCTGAATAACAGTTATACGTAGGGTTGCCAGGTGTCCTGTATTGACCCAGACAATTATTTTCACTTCACCTAAAATGTCCAATATTTTCTGATTTTGTCCCGGCCAGAAGGAGAAAATACCGGGTGCTTACCTGGTTTTGCAGGGGAGCTGTCTGGCCTGGAGCAGGAAGACAAGATGGTGGGTGGCTGCCAGCCGCCTGTTAGCACCAAAAAGTCTCAAAAGCATTTCTTAAAGGGGCCACGCTGGTTTTATTTTTTGTTTTTGCCCAGCAATTTTGGTCTCCCCCTTTTTTTCCCTGTGGTTTGCTTTTGGGGAGGGGGTGCTCAGTAGTTTTGGTTAAACCATCTGGCAACCCTAGTTATACAATAATAATACCCAAAAGTACATACAAGCTATAATTGAAACCATTTGTCCAAAACCGCCTCTCCATTAAAGCAAGGGATCCATAATACCCCAGTTTTCAGTTTGTACGACAAAAACCAAACCAATGAGGTTTTGTAAATGCTTAAACCACTCCTATTTTCTCCATCTCTCAGAAAGTAAGATTAAGTGTTAAATGACTCCAGAGAAATTATACCAGGTATAACAACATAGAACATAAAAAGCCACAATATGGGATCATTATGAAATGTAATAGTGAAAATCATGTTGGTAGATAGAGATTTATCTTGCTGCAGAAGTACAGCCTGTGTATTTGTTTCATGTACTGTGTGCTTAGTAATAACGTGAAAGGAGTCCAAGCTTTGTAGTAAAAAGAGCTATTTAGAGATGCTGAAATTGCAGCTAGCCATGGCATTCTAGCCATGTGTACAACGTCTGATTTTTCTAATGACTCCTCCAAATTCTTCCCTGCTGCAATCTGTGGTTCTCCCTAAAAGTTCCAAGCAGGTTTAACAGTTTTTTTGTTGTGTCCTTTGTGCAAGTGTTTGCTGACTTGCTGGAGTTAAAGATTACTACTATACTGCCCACACTAGAGACTTATGTAGCCCATTCTAGCTTATTAGCCCTTGTGATCCTTCAAGTGTGTTTGCCTTTGATAGGGTTACCATATTTGAACTTTCAAAAAAGAGGACACTTGGTGCCCACCAGTGCTGCTGTGGCGGCGGCTGTTCCACTAGCACAGGAAGCTGGGCTTG